CCTCTCCAGAGGCCACAGAAGTTGTATAACCTTCCCTGTGCTGTATGTGTGGTGTAGTAAGGCATCTGGGAGCAGGCGGCTGGGGCCCAGGTGCATCACCCCCCCAAAGCTATCGCTAACTGCACAGGAGGGGCTGGACTTGGTCCTTACCTATTTGTGAAAGTACAGTTGAAAATCCAGCAGTTTAGTTGTCAATTATTAACCTTGCAAAAACCAACACAGCCAGAATTTGGCTGAAGTTGAGCAAAATTGAGAGTGTGTGCTCGGGTTAAATGAAAGACTTCAAAAGTCTGTATTGATGTGTACCGGCAGAGCTGAATGCCCTCATCTGTGCATTGTTGCCAAATTTGCTTCCATTTTCACACACCTAGAGTATAAATTTATTATTATTACTAAGTTATTTTGGGGAGCTAGACTTTTCAGTGGAGGAGCCAAAAGTTACGCAGGATATCTAGTCTTCAAAACTTGTAGCTCCAGGTCTGTGGTTCCAGTTATTTCAGAGTCCTGAAAGACCTGAAAGAGAGAATGGATTCTTTTTTTTTGTTGTTTTCATTTCTTAAAATATTTTTATGTGCTCCAGAAACGCAGCAGGCTATCAAATTACTAGAGAACTGAAACATTTTTTTTTCCCCGTAGAATTTTCTGCTAAGAAAATTGTGCAGTAATTAAATTCAGGTACTGGTGAGGATCTAAAATGTTCTGCAAATTGAATTGTTTCTTTTGTTTCTGTGCTGATTCAGAGGATATGCATAAAACTTAGCAATTTGGCTCGAGGGTATAAAACTACTGGAACGTTGCGGTGCTCTTTCAGGCAGTGTCATGCATCTTCTCCACCAGGGACAATGGAGGGTCATTAAACCCTGCTGCTGACTTATCAAGTCTTACACGATGACTGTTAGTCTGGTTGAGTTGCCATTGCTGCAGCTGATTCTGTACCTCATATTTTGAAGTGAATTAACTGATTCGTATGGACTTTCACATTAGTTTCCAAAGAAGCTTCCAAGTGGTCCTTTGCATCTTTCCCAGTAGCAGGATCTCTCTCATGCTGGGGCACGCGTCTGGCATGCCGGATCCGTGCAGCTGAGGGGAGAAAACGGCACATTGGTGCGATGCCAGGGTGCCCCCCTTAATTTAGTCCTGTGCTCAGCAGGGTCTTCTCTGCCTGTAACGGGGTGCAGCGACCTCAGCCCTGCCACGCAGCATGATGTCTCAGGTGCGCGTATCAGCTCATGGACATAGCGCTGAGTGTGGCCTTATCTCAGATTTTGGGTTTTGGTTTCAGAAATGTCCTGGGAAGCAGCATGCCACCAGCCAAGGGACAGCTCAGCAAACCAACATACCTGTATTTTTTTTGCCTTTCCATTTCTTTTGCATCTAAAGATGAAAAAAATAATCTCTGAGTTTTCAGGATATTCAGGGCCACATTATGTCCTCAATGACAGAGAAAATCCTCGTGTCCTTCATTTCATTTCACTGGTGTCACTGATGGGAATTTGGAAAGCGATGGTAGTGAAGATGCACTGGGAGGCGTTAGTCTGTAGATCTAAATGGAGTTAGAGCAGTAGGGAAGTCCCGTCGCCTGTTAAGTTGCTGGTTCTACCACTCACTACACCACTGTTGGGAGGATGGTAATTACCCTCGTTGCATTAACAAGTGACAGACTAATTTTAAGCTAACTTTTGCTGATTAATGCAGGAGAACTGCAGACGCTGTTGTTACTTCAAGTATGCATTTTAGAAATTGGTTCTTGTGAGTAGTACTACAAGCAGATGGCCACTTTCAGTAGAGTTTTAAAACACTACTGTGTTTTCAGCATCACAAGTTCAGCTGAATGACTTTTGAAAAACTCTATGGGGAACTGCCCTATTTTTAAGTGCATTCTTTAATTGCTACTTTTCAGTCTTCGGTGCATTTTTATTATATATTTCAACCTAAACATGCAATTTGTGTATTTCAGATGAAATAGTACTGTCATTTCACTATACTTTGTGGTGTTTCTTGCCATGTCAGTTAAAGCCAACGGCTGCAATGTACCTATTTCTCATAGTCAGAAAGTAGTGTGCTATTTGTTCTTCAATTCTAATCATGTTTCAGATAAAGATATTCTCAAAGGCAATGAATTCCAGCAGAAGCCATGCCAGGAATTTCTGAGAAAAGGGAATGTTGTTACCAGTTCTGCTAAAAGTGGACCTACGTTATAACCTTCCAACCTTACAGGCCATTTCTGTCGGGTGAAATAACAGTTCTGTGCAAAGAAACAAAAGCGTCCCCCCCCCGCAGCACAGAAGATGATTGTATACTAATTAGGGAGGTAAATCTTTTACGTACTTGGTCCATCTGAATCCTCGTGCAAAACGCCATTCTGGTTATGGTTTCTTTTAGTCACTTACATTCACGTAATGTTTGGGGTTTTTTTATAGTAATCTGCATATCCCAGATTTGTTTTGTCAAGTTTTACCTGGGAGAATTACTGTTACTGTGGTGCCTGTGACAGGTTGTCACCCTTGCTGCCAGTTAAGTGTGTGCCAGAAGCCGAGATGAGTAGAGTTTACGTATCTGCAAACAGCAGCAGTACTTGTTTAGAGGACGCCAGTCAACTAGCAATGTGTCAGACAATCTACTATTTTTATTTTCCCTAAAAAAATGGCTCTGCACTAAGAGTATATATTCACTGCTAGGCTAGGACCTGGTCTGACAGACTTGGATTTTTCAAAATCTTACAGAAAAGCTGCTATTTTAAGGGCATACTAAACTTTCACATAACAGCGGAGAAACTGGATGAATAAATGTGAATCAGTGGTCTTGAAAAATTATGAGATGGTGATACTGCTTTGACAGCATTACTGTACTTTAGAAATCTTGTGTCAGGAAAAAAAACAACAGCAAAATGTAACCTCAGCAACTGCAGAAGATTTTGTTTAAAACAACAAGTGACTTCTTAAAGTCATTGATGTCCTTTTTTATGAGATTTGTCTTCCTCCACACCCTAGTGCATCCTTGATAAATCAGCCAGCATGTTTCCCTCTCATTCCCTTGCTTTTGCCTTCTAACTCAGCTATGGCTTTTTGATTTGATATTCCGATCACATAAATTAGCCCAGAAAATCTTGTGTTTTCCCATAACTCATAGTTCTGATGGAGTGTTTAGCCTTCCAGCTTCTCTTGTTTATGTCTCCATACTTTTTTGCCCTTGTATCCAGTATTGATGATATTTGCTTTTATGCCTTTGTTTATAAAACTCTCTGTGGGCTTTAACCGAACCCTTCTCATTCCCAGTTTGGAAACCTCATCACGCCGTTAGTAA